CACACTATTATGAAATTGAATAGATTCATTATTAAAACATTGCTAAAAATAAATCACATATATTTATTGTAAAATCAAACTCGTTCGCCGAATGTAAACAAACCTCGTGATTGCATAAACGCTTATCTATGGCATGGAACACCAAAATTCGATAAATAATTTTAAAAAATGTGTTTCTCTGGAAGAAAACCGGAGGTTTTCAGGATTTTTTAGAAATATCCGGATTTCTGGATATATTCGGAAGACTTTCATTATTATTTTAGAATCAGAATAACATCTAGAATTAGTTGTCTCACAAAACAACTTTCTCCCATTCCCTCCAAAAAATGTTCCAACAAACTTGTATTTCACAAAATTCTAAACATCAATAGGTTGTTCTCTTTTATATAACAGGACTTAATGGGAAAAATTAAGATGAGTAATTAGAAAATTTAACAGCTTAATCTTTTACATGACATCTTAACAAAGGCTAAATCTCAAACAAATGAGGCACAACAGGTATATATATATATATAGTCTTACAACATAACCTGTGGAAAGATGAAAACGTTGGAAAGATGAAACAGCCATTTCTTGTTTGACTAAAATAACACAAATGAGATATAAAAGAGTGTGTTGTTGATAATTCGGCTTTAACCTTACACAATGAGGATAACATGACATGGAGTGAAACTAAAAACATAAGTACAGAGAAAAACAAGAAGCAACCACCACAACAGCAAGTAAATATGGTCCACCTTCAAGTATATAAACCAGAACAGGTCAAATGAATATTGCTGTCAACTCATTAGCTGAGGAAGACAAAAATACTGGATGTGATATCAAAACCTGAACTTTAATAAATATCTTGTAAGGTAATTTATTTTATTTACTGAAATTACTCATTTTGGTTAGGAAGGAAAACAATTATAAACTTAATATATATTGTATTGAATTGGAACTGCTGTATAATCGTGTGTCACATAACATTGTTAAATTATTTCATTTTCATTTACTGATTAAGTATATTTTTTTACAAGTTACAGATTTTATAATAAGTAAGATTTGTATTTAAAACAGGTAAGACATTTCGATCACTGGTGCAATCATTTTCAAGTACACAAGTTTTAACGGTAAAGAACAAATTAGTATTTAAATCAACAATCTAACAAAGTATTTGAATTGTACAATTGAGAGTGGTTACTTATGCATGTATATACCAAACTGCTTGAATTTACAGATTATTTATGGCTAAACAAAAAACAAAAGTGAATCAACAATCTAACAAAGTATTTGAATTGTACAATTGAGAGTGGTTACTTATGCATGTATATACCAAACTGCTTGAATTTACAGATTATTTATGGCTAAACAAAAAACAAAAGTGAATATATATCAAACAAAATCAACAAGAAAAAACTATAGAACATGTCATGTAAAATATTTGCATAAGATTTGGGAAGTGTGGGGAAATAATAAAAAGACAGTGATGTGTCTGGGTATTTGTTAATTGTTTGATTTCATTAATAAAGCTTCTGAGATTTTTCTTCTGTTAATATCAGGTCGATTTTTTAGTTCAGTAATATTCTGTTCAGAAAAGTGTGTTTTTATTCATATGGATATGGAAAGAGGTTTTTGGTTTCTTTGTAATCTGATCTTCAAGTTATGTCCTGTTTCACTTATATAAAAGGCTGGGCAAGTGTTACACTTTATTTTGTAAATATTTCCTGGTGGGGTGAGTTCATTATACAATTTTCTTAACATGTGTTTAATGTTCATTCCAGGGGTGAAAACAAATCTAGGCATTATATTAAGGTTATATTTATGTGCTAGTCTTTTTGAAATTTCTGACAGAGATGCACTTAATATTTTCAATATATGAGATAATGCAAATGGTTAGGTTTCCTCTGTTTTGTAGAATGTTTGAGTTTGTTTATTAAATGCCTCTTGTCTGTGTTTTTTAAGTTTGTTAATAATTTCTATAATCACTTTAGTATGGAACTGGTTAATGGTAGTAAAGCAGTCAGTTAAGTGCACATCTTTATGGACATTTTCTGTGGTACATATAGTGTATTCTAAATTTAGGAGGCTTTATAAAACGTCTAACTTCTGGTGGATTACATGATTAGATAACCAGTTTATGTAATTTCTGCTGTATGTGTTTTTTTTATATGAATTTTAGTGGTAAAGCCTTGGGGTTCATTTAATGTTAACATTTAACAAATTTACCATGTAGTTGTTTGCATTTTCCACTGTGAATTGCATGTTATTATGTAGGTTGTTCACATATTTTAGGAATTTTGTTTGTTCATCTTGACAAGTAAAGCCACAAAAAACGTCATCTACATATCTAGGCCAAAATGCAGGCTTATATATGGAAGTAACTATGGCATGCTGTTCTATGTACCTGATTATGGATTTCCCATGCCATGTCCTTGTAACTAAAGGATGTACGAATCTCTGTACTGAAAGTAAATAAATGTTGCTAGTTGTAACAGTTCAAGTAGATGTTCCTGTTTTATGTTGTTTCAATTTTTTAGGTCTTATCAAATAAGTTCTGTAGTGAGTTGTATTGCCTCATGACAAGGGGTTTGAGGGAACAGGTTTACGACATCAAAGCTAGACATAATGATGTTGCTGTCTAAATTGTGTAATTGTTGAAGAAAGTATGAAGTGTTTTTTAATTGGGTGTTTATTTTGGAAACATAAGGTTCTAAAATCCAGTTCAACGAGTTATAAGAAGACGTAATTGGGTGTAAGGTTATTAGGCTTTTATAGACTTTTTCTAAACCATAAATTTTTGGTGTTCTAGGTTTGTTTGTGTGCAAAAAATTATAAAGTTTAAAGGTAATAGTTTTTACTTTTAATAATATTTTGAAAAAGTTTTCTTAATTTTTAGTTGTATGTTGGGTTAAGGTCAGTATTTTACAGAGTAAACTTACTGTAAAAGCTGTAACATGTAATCATATAGGTAAATTGTGACCTGAACATTTTTGGCATTAGAATACATTTATACATAACTATATATCAGTGAATTTATTTTACATACAGTTTTAACTGGTTTTTAAAATCCTGTTACATGTCACTTTGGTCATAGTATTGTTGTTCGGCAGCATTTTGTAAACCAACCATAATATGCTACTGAATTTAATACTGCAAGACATCTCACCCATCAAGAGCTTGTGTAATGGACCTAAAAGCTCATATAAACAAATAAATCAGTATTTATGTAGATGAATGTTCCAGAGAACTTCTTTTAGGGACTTTGCATCACAAATCCAATCTAATAGCACAAACACAAAATATTATAGTTACTCTAAGCTAGTATCTTACCCTTGTTATCTGCAGCAACAAATCCAAGAATATTCTCATGACGAAGCATCACTGTCTGGTAGATCTCAACTTCCCGAAACCAAGATCTTTCATCTCGAGAAGAGAAAATTTTAACTGCTACTGGCTCACCATTCCAACGTCCTTGCCAAACTTCACCATACCTCCCCTTACCTATAATCTTGACCAACTGTATTTGACGAGCAATACTTCTTTGCACTAGCAATGGCAAACCTATACATAATAGTATAAAGAGGTTGTTCCTAAACACCAGTACTGAAATAACTTAATATTAACCAACAGTCTTTAACATTAGTTTTTTTTTTAAATATATATAACTTTGTTTGATTTACAATTTTGTTGTGTTTTTTCAAGATAGGCCAAAGTTAACATCTTTCTAATCTGAAAGTGTATTTCCAATAGATACCTCTTCACACAGAAACATTATCTTCCTTGCACACCTACCTAAAAGATTTGAATACCATTAGCCATGAGGTAACTCCCACCTAAATTCACATGTTTAATGTGAACTGTACTGGTGCATAATGGCATCATCCTGTGACAAAAGCTCTCCACCAGTAGAAGTGCGACACAATGTCTATGTGCAGTAACTCCCCAATGTACTTGCAATAACTTCATTCTTCCACAAGGTAAGAAGAAAATATGTGCACCAGAAGTGGGGAGAACAGTTGGAAATGTATGTAGAGGTATTTATTGGAAATACATTTTCAGATTTGTAAAATATTATCTTTCGAGATGATACTTCACCTCTTCATATAGAAATGTTAAAATCCCATGCTGACTTGATGGATAGGCCAGTGCAAAACTTTTAAACCTAGATGACCTCCCTTGAGAAAGCACTTGATGGGAAACCCATGGAGTGTGATGCACAGTGGTAGGGGCTCCATACAGGCACAGGGTATACTCTTTACCTGGAATGTAAAGGGGAATAGGTAAATGAGCCCCCAAGTATCACAGGAACAGACAGAATGAAAACATGACCATCAAGCACTTTCAGTGGTCAAGAGCCAGTATGTGTAGTGTGGTTGGGGCACACTCAAACCATACCAAGCATGCACACCTTGACTCTACTGAACAGGCTACTACACTGAAAGTGTTACCACTGCTGTACTCCTCACTGTATTGTGCTGAACTCAACTGGTGAGGATTCTACACGGAACTAGTATATAGCAACAGTCTCCAATGCTCTACTCGAGGAGGGAGGGGGGGGTTGCATTTGGGAAACCTGGAGAAGTACCCAGATCCCCATCAGACTACTAGCTGGAAAGGTTTTTCACTGGAGACAGTGCAATTGATGACCACGAAACCCTATTTTTAAAAGCTGGCAAGAACTAGCCAAAGAAATGAGCAGAACACTTCTCTGGTGCTGGTTTTTTTCCATGATAGCCCTTGGCACTGATACAGTCTGGATCAAACAAGTGAGTAAGGATGAATACAAGTAGGATATTTCAAGTGGTCATGCAGGAAACCCCATCTTGCAGTAGGCATGGTAGAGCCAGGGTGGATGGTTTGAACAATTTCTGTTATCCTAACTTGATGCAGATTTTGAGAAATAAGCATACCTGGCAGGAACCTAAGTAAACATAAATGGCAGCTAAAAAAGAAAATGTATTTTCTCTTCTCTAAGACAGTGGGTTGATTGAAGAATGATGACTGGTGGAAGTGAAAATCCAAAAGGAAATGAAACAGCCAGATAATTTAGATAATGAGAGGCGAATGTGTGGAAAGTCCACATGCCCACTTGGAGGGTTCATCCAAAGGTTGGCAAAAATGGGAAGTAAGAGAATGAGTTGGGTGATGAACTAAATGTGAAGAAATGTGATATAGTTTGCAAGTATCCACATTCGGAGATGAACAGACCATCCAGTAAGGGTAGGAGGAGAGAAGTCTTTGGAAGAAGGGACCCCAAAAGGGGAGAAGTGCATGGTAACCAACACTGAACATCCCAAAGAGGACCCAGTAGTTGATTCGGAGTTAAACGATCATATAGGTGAGAGACAGAAGGAAAGGAGAAACTACAGTTACCTTCCTCAGTAGCAGAAGTCTTAGGAAGGAAAAATCAGTCAGGGGAGAGGAGTATGTAAATGCAATGGAAGAGGGTGCAAGAAGTATCAATAGCATAGACATCCATAGATGGTGATAGCAAGCAAGCAAGGAAGAGGAAGAAACAAGTATGAAGAGGAAGATGGTACAAAGAGCAAAAAGCCTATGGCTTGAACAGGGCATGTGCAAGAGCAAGCAAAACCACACTAAAATCCAGTCAAGCATGGGAGTCAGGTGAGGCAGTCAGAGAAGCACAAAGGAGTGGAACACAGTGGAGAGGATAGGGAGAGAAATAGCCTGTAGTACTGGGAAAGGTACCAGAAATGATTGATACCAATAAACTATGATCTAACAGCCAGGTGAAAAGACAAAAGTGTTCCCAGTTATATGGCCAGAAGGAAAGAGGTGGATGGTGGACCAACAATGAAAGATCTGTCACTTTTATTGAAAGACAGACATAGTGGAAGAGCTACAGGAACATGACAAGAAGAATGACATATGATTGGAGAGTCTGGCCTGATGACAGACAGACTGAAAGATGATATCCCTTGATCAAAAGGGGACATGTGAATTTGAAATAAGAGTGTGTGTGTGTGTGTATTGGGTAGAGGAAGGGGAAGTCTTGCTGGTAAGCAAAGAAGAAGAGGAAATCAAGGCTGAGCTGACAAAAGAGGTGCTAACAATAGGACCCAACAAGGACTGTCACTTATGAAAGCAAGGACCAAAGGGAGAGACAAACAGTAGGACAGGCATATAGAAAGAGGTGAAACCAGGCCTGGCTGAGAGCATCAACAGAACAAAAGGATGAGTAACAGAGGACCAGAAGAGAAGAAGCCTGGAGTTGAAAAGGGTGGCCACTGTGTCTATTAGAGGTGTGTCAAACTGAGAGCAAATCCAACAAAAGACCTGAGGGTGTAGAGACCACTCCATTGGTAGAATGTGGACTAGCTGAGAGGCCTACTGCCACCAAGTTCTTAGTTTCTGGTAAATAACAGGCAACAAGACAAACTTGACATGAATGGGTCAAGAAGAATAGTTCTGACACTCAAATGCAAAGGGTCCTAAAATAGGTGCCTCCTGGATGATTGGTGTAAGAAACGATCATGTAATTGTTGCAGTGTATCATGACCAAGTTATCCACCCGTATGGGGTAGGAATGGGAACACACCTGATGAATGGTGAAAAGTTCAAGTACATTGATGTGGAGTAAATGTTTGTCCTACATTTAAATGCCAAAACACATGTCTTTGTTCAGAAATGGGCCTCAATCACAGAGAGAAAGATCACTGAAGATATAGATCTGGTTTGGGAGTTGGTAAGAGAATGCCAAAAGTATTATCGGCACAGTCTAGTCACCATGATAATTCCTCAAGGAAAGAGAAGATTCACAAAAGAGGACAATGGAACCCGAGAAAGAATCCCTTGGATCTTTAAGGTCTATTACAGGAGGTAAATTTGTCTGTGCCCTGAAGGAATGTGAGGTTCCAGGGAAGCTAGGGTCCCCAAAATCAAGAGAACCTTTCAATTATGGTGAGAAGAAGCACAAAACCTGGTGTCCAGATATGCCATGACTCATAGGTGAAGGCTGAACTTGGCTGAGACAACAGATGAAGAAAATGCCTATAAGTACCAAATATTGAGGGGCATGAGAAAGGACTGAGATTTCATGACAAGCCACCCCAACCAAGTAGCCTCCTGGAAGAGAAATGAGGTGTGAGAAGAGGATACCATATGTGAACAAGCCAAAAGAAGGCAATTGTCAAAAAAAAAAAAGGAATGCCAGCCCTAGGCCACGAATATGGCAAGTGAAGGCACTTGTGAGACAAATGAGCACAAAAAGAGGCTGACATTATGTCAAAGAGAAGAGCAAGAAATGGAAAGACTCAAATCTCATGGATGGAAGGTATAAAACATATGGGTCAAGAGTGTGTGTAGGAAGGTGTCCGACACATCAACCATGGCCAACTGCAGACTGGGTGAAAAAGACCATAGAGACAAGAAAAGGAAATGGGAAGAAGAGTTAAAAGAAGATAAGTGAAAAGAGAGACAATTGTGGAGAAATGAAAAACAACTGTCAGCAGAAAATGAGATAAACAGCAGGAGAAGAGGAGATGGGTACCAACAGGGTTGGATGTGATATGATATTCAGACAAGAGCAATGGACTAGACATATGGAAGAAGGAAAACGAGAAAAAAGAATAAGATCTAGAACCTAGAATGGGAAGGTTAGGGGTAGACTGATACACACGAGGAACAGCAGTAAAGAACAAGGTCGAGAAAGAAGAAAATCTGGGAAAATAACGAGAACTGAAGTCATTCAAGATCAATCCAGGTCTCCAGAGAGAAATGAATACCACTGAAAATGTCCGGTAGAAGAAAGACAGCCTGGCAAAGACCATGTACAGCACAGAGGAATGTAACCTGATGCAACAAATTCCAACAGCAGGGAAACAAAGTAAGGAGGGAAAAGGTAGAAAAACTGGAAAAGAGAATAAACTTCTACAGAAAACTCCTCTGGTACAGGATGAAATGCCTCAGACAAAAGTTAGAGGAAGGAGAGGGAATAAAGGAGGATGGTGAGAAAATGATGATTGTTCTTTTGTTTGTAATTAAGCACAAAGCTACACAATGGGCTATCTGTGCTCTGCCCACCAC